GCGTGAAGAATAAGATGACGATCTTGAACGACAAGGGGAGGCTCAGCAAGGAGGATATAGAGGAGATTTTGAAGGATGCGGAGAGGTAAAAGGCTGAGAACGAAGAGGTGACGTAGAAGGTGGAGGCGAAAAATGCATTTGGAGAACTCTGTGAGGGATGACAAGTTGGGGAGAAGCTGACGGCAGGGGATAAAGAGAAGACGGTGTAGGGAATCTAGACCAGTCAGGATGTTGGCCTCAAAATCACGGGCGATGGTGGTTCACCGACCGTGAGGATCCAAGGGCTGAAGCTGGTGGCTATAGAGAGACAAGGCTCGCCGAGATTGAGGTCTCGAAGTTGGAGGATAATTTCGTGTATCAGATGGATGTATATGGGAAAATTTGAGGGGAATGGAAGCCAATTCAGTAGGGTCTTAGATTTGTGATTGTTGCCTTTTTTCTTATATATTATTGCAGTTAAAGATCAAGTTTGTACATTATTTCATGCCCATTGGTTTATCTGAATGATGAAATGTAGGCTATATGTATTGAAACCGGCAATATACATTCTTATGCATTACAGTACAACACAATATACATTCTTATGCATAGCAAATGTGCAAAAGCATGTTTTCCTCTAAAACCGGCACCTCCTAGATTCCCCACCTATATCGTACCTCCCAAGAGTAAGTTGTAGAAGGAATTTCAACGAGATGCAAAGAATCGGGTTCAATGCCATAATCGGTTAAGGGTTGATGTTCGAGAATATCGTCATGTTGTTGAACAAATTCTGGAATTTCAACTTCTCCCTGCTTTACATGATGCCAGAGTTGAAGCCAGCTCACGTAATTAATTTTCCAGTATAATAAGTGCATGCTCTTCAATTTGCCTTAAAGAGAAAATTCAAGAACTTCGGGCCTGAAAGTCCATCCCCCTCCACTCAACAGGAATCACCCAAGAGTGGCGAAAACAAGCCTTGACCGAATTCCAGGATGAATGAAGTACACGACCTGAAGCCGATCTTTGCAAGCACCGGGTAATTCTTCATATATCCATCTGAGTATCATAAGGTCGGGCGAGTTATCGTCCTACTGAACTATATTGTGCATGTACACGATGCAGAACGGGCCGCCCGACATCTCGGTCAAGATCTTATGAAACACGTATTTTTTCAGGGGAAAAAGTAGAAAGAAATAATAAGAGCGAAAGTAGAAAGAAAGTCAAGACCATAATATAGAGAAGCCATAAGTTTGAAGTACTGAAATCCAACCAAAATAAGTAACCACAGCAAATGACAAACCAATTACCATGAAAACTTAAACATTAAATCAAATGACGACTATTTCTAAATGTACTTTCAATTAGACTGCATGAACTAAACCAACGCTCATCAAACTATTTAATAGCAAAATACAATGCCACATCCAGGATCAACCTTTTTGCTAGTCTATGGATGTTGGTCAACCACCGACGACTTTGACGTTTTGTCCACCTCATATGTTGCCAGCACATTAGCTCCCCAACTAGGAACAAAAGAAGGTATAAATAATTCCTGTGTGTGTGACATTGGAGCCAAGGTGGGAAGATTAGCATGCACCATTGGTTGAATATATGTGGCATTTTCATGTGATTTAGAGGATGCCATATTTTTTTGTTTTGACGAGACCTACATAGTCGGGATATAAGATTAATAAACTAAAATATATAAAATGATGATATAACATAACAAGATATAAATTACAATTTACCTTTAATTTCTTGGAAATCTTTTCAAGTGCCCCCTTTTGACGTAATTTTCGAGGAGCTCCTTTTCTTTTCACGTGGTTTGGATCAGAAATTTTCGGTCTCAAAATTTTATCCATTCCTCCATCAACTGGATCTACCAATATACTTTGGTTCAAATTAGATTTTTCTTCACTTCTTTGATCCATATTCATTGAATCCAAATCATTAGATACAGACTCGATCCACTCCAAAAGCTTACTTGCCCTCACATCATCATTCGCCACCTTGTCGGCCACCGCTGCAAAAGCACGACACAAATGATCATATCGCAACTGATCAGGTGTCGAGATCCAACCATCATAATTAATCTTCACCCTTTGGTATGGTCTACACACATCTCTCCTCCACCTCCTCAATATATACATGTCAGGAACAGACGTCACATCATTGCGTATCAAAACTGTGATAGCATGTTTGCAAATTATCCCTCGAAACTCAAATAAATGACAGCTACAAACAAAGTTTCCCGATTCCTTTTGAGTTTGAACAATGTAGCTTTTTTTATATTTTCTTCCATTACAAATAACATCCTTCTGAACCATGTGTTTATGTCCCCATAGAAATTTCTCACATCCATCCTCACTGGATATAATGCAACAGTAAACCATACCTGTGAACTGAGATTGAAATTCTTTGAACTTATTGATGGTGTAGATGGCTTGGAATTGTTTTTCTAATTCATACATAGTAGCACATGGGACCATCGCCGAATATGACTTACAATCAGCTTGAATCTCCTTCTCCACTTTACAACGCAGTGCTCTCTCGTATTGTTCAACAAATTGCTTCAATGTTGTTTTCGCATTGACATATTCATCAAAAAATGCATTAATACTCTCACTACGTTGTGTTGTTGACATCCCTGCCCAGAAACTCGTCTTCAAAAAACACGGAACCCAACGGTTTCTTTCACTATAGAGGCTAACCAACCACTCATTCTCTTGTAGTTCATACGAGTGGACCATATTAAACCAACCCTGCTCAAATTCTTCTGGACTTTGAGATTCATAAACCACTTCATGAATTGACGACATGATAGCACCTTTGTGCAGATGACCGCCAAATTTCTCAGGCAACTTTTTTAGTATATGCCACAAACACCACCTATGTCTTGTGTTTGGAAAAATTATTTGGATAGCATTTTTCATTGCCCTATCTTGGTCTGTTATTATTCCAATAGGGGCTTGTCCCTCCATGCACTCAAGCCATGTTTTAAAAAGCCATATGAAAGTGTCTGTATCCTCGCTCGATATTAAGCCACATCCAAACAACGTAGAATGACCATGGTGGTTAACACCCACGAAAGGGGCAAATGGCATCTCATATTTATTTGTTAAATACGTTGTATCAAACGTCACTACATCGCCGAACTCTTGATATGCTTTTCTGCACCTATTATCAGCCCAAAATACATTTTTCAACCGAGACTCCTCGTCCAAGTCAATGCTGAAGTAAAAACCTGGACAATTAGCCTGCATTTTAGAAAAGTAAGATTGAATTGCAGCTGCATCCCCTTCTCCGAGTCTCAAATGTCGAACCTTAGCAATATAATTTCGGCAATCCTTCTCAATAAATGACATCTTTTCGTATCCACCAGCCTCTACAATAGCAGAATTAAAGCTTTTATGTAACGGAATTCCAGCTACATCATTTACCTCAAGTCGTCGTTTAATATTGGCGCTTAACTGTCGATTGCAACGATATAATCTTGATTTGGAGGGACTTACTGCATGATTATGCTCTAGATGGACACCTGTGATTTTCCATGTCCCCGTAATATCTGAACAAGCTGTCAACCGAGCTTCACACCCATTTTTAATGGTGGCTTGTGGTTTGAAAGAATTAGCAGTTGATTTAATTCTTTGTCCCTCTCGACTACAAGTAAACATTGCATTTTTTATGACACCGTCTTCGTCTTTCCTGGAACTTCTCTTTCTAACTGGGAAACCAACACGAGCGACATACTTTTTGTAAAATTCAAACACTTTGTCATAATTTTCGAACTTCATTCCAATCACTGGCACATATTTTTCATCTTCGGGTAATCCAACGTGCAATTCATCAGCATTCGTTGTAACTATCTCTTTACCTTCCACACACTCATTCTCCACCAACCCAAAAACTTGATTTCCTGCATAATGAGGATTGTTATCAGATACAGCAGTTCTAAAAAAATTGGAAAAAAAAACACCATCGAATAAACCCAAAAAATCAATCAATTATCACCACTGTCAAAAGCTACACACAAAATAATGAATATGTCAAAAGCTATACACAAACTAATGCATGTTATACCTGTGTTATTTGTTGTCATATTTCTCTACAATAAAAAGAATACCACAGTAACGATTTGTAGCATGAAATCGTACAGATTCGATTTTGGGTTGATGGTCACGAATTCGATTTTGGATTGATGGTCACGATCACTGGCTTTTGTTTCTCTGTCGCGCAAGGTTTTTGTTTCTCTATTGTGAATTCTATTTGCGTTCAGTTTTAGAAGCGATGTGAATTCTTATTGATTTTTTTTTTTAAACATTAATGATTTCCACGTAAGTCGTTGTGAATTGAGTTGTAAAACGAGATGGCTGTGTAGCATTATTGAGTCAATTATGATGATATAATATTTTTGTAACTCAAATTTAACTCAATTCAACAATTCTCAATATTATCAATCAATTTGAATCACTACTAATACACTGACATAATTTTTATACTTTTCGGTCGTAATCATAATTTTCATTTATATCAAATTAACTTTAATTATTATAGTTTAAATATTACTTTATTAAAAACACATAATTCCAATTAAACCTAGTAGAATTAGGGTGATGCTACATACCCACCCTCCATTACAACATCGTTTACAACCATGTGTAATGGAGGCATTGAAAAAAGTGCATTATTGCATTTTTTAATGTTTCCATTACACATAGTTGTAAACCATGTTGTAATGAAGGGTGGCAAAGTAGCAAAATCCATAGAATTAACCTTTTCAAAATTAACTAAATTATCAAACGAATTAAATTAAAACCAAAATAAGTTGTATCAATCAACCTATAGAATCCGCATCAAAACAAATTTGAGGTTATTCTCGTCTTAAAACAAGCACCTCAAAATCCCTGTGAAGATCTAGGTTGGAGAAAACCCTTTCAATCGTAATTAGGGCTCCAAAATGACTGCTCAATTTCCCAAATAATTTCTCCCGTCTCCTTCCTGATGAGCAAAAGATCAGAGCCATGAGGAGTGCTCTCAAAAGATCCCATGGCGAAGACTCGTCCTCTTCCCCGTCATCCAAGATCGGTTCAAGTAAAACTCGCCGCCACCACCACCACCACTATCACCGCAGTATCTCCCCGGCCTCCGATTTTCCGGCGAACTATCACCACCCCCCACCTCGCAATCCACATCGTGAGTTTACAGGTAAGCGCTTGAATTTCATTTCCTATACCGAAATACCCTCCTTGCCCCCGAAGCTCAAAGTCCTGTGCCAAATCGTGGCCGAAACTCCCAGCGCCACTGTGGAGAGGGTCCTCGAGGACACCGGGATTAGGGTTTCCGAAGCTGACGTCGAGGAGGTCCTCAAACTTTCGTACAGACACCCGGGCCCGGCGGTGAAGTTTTTCCGGTGGTCCAGCTTGCAGCTTAACGGCAGAAACAGCGAGTACGCCTGGAACCTGGTCGTGGACCTGTTGGGAAAAAACTCTTTGTATGACGCAATGTGGGATGCTATTCGGTCCATGGCAAAGGAAATGCTGCTCTCGCTATCGACATTCTCCTCAGTTTTCAGCAGCTACGTGATGGACAGCCGTGTGCGGGACGCCATCATGAGTTTCGAGTCCATGGACCGATACGGAATTCCCAGGGATGTCCTGGCTTTGAATTCCTTGTTGGACGCCATTTGCAAGGATGGAAAAACCTGGGAGGCCACGGACTATATGTTATTTGCCAAGCAGAAAATCAGGGTCAATGGAGACACATACGCAATTTTGCTCAAGGGTTGGGAAAAAGAGGGTAATGTGAATCGAGCTAGAGACACTTTCTCGGATATGGTGGTGGATGTTGGTTGGGACTCGAATAATGTTCCCGCTTACGACTCGTTCTTGTGTACACTCCTCACAGGTCCAGATGGGACGCGTGAGGTGCTGAAATTTCTCGACACCATGAGGGACAGAGGCTGTTACCCTGGAAAAGGGTTTTTCAAATTAGCGATTGACGAGTGTGTTAGGAAAAGCGACTCAAAATGTGCCAGGGCAGTTTGGGAGATCATGGTCGGGAAGAAAATCTACCTCCCGGACATAAAAACCTATAAGTCGTTGATTTCCTTGTACTGTAACGTGAAGGATTTCGACTCAGCTGAGAGGCTACTTGACGAGATGGTCTACAATGGGGCGTTTCCCGATTCGGAAACTTACAGGCTTATGTTCCATTTTCTAATCAAGCACCGGCGACTGAGGGAGGCAACCCCTCTGTTCAAGGAGATGCTGAAAAATGAGTTTGTGCCCTTACAGGAGGACTGCATTGTGGCGGTCAAGGAGTATGTGGATGCAAAGGACCCGTATATGGGGATCAAGGTGTGGAGGTGTATGGTCGAGAACTACCATTCGGATTTGGAAGAGACGGGTAATCTTTTGGTGGTGGGCCTTCGGGAAATGAATAGAGTTCCCGAGGCGGTTAAGTGCGCGGAGGATATGATTGAGCGTGGGATCAAGCTGAACTCATCCACGCTCTCTAAGCTGAAGCAGAGCCTGTCGAAGGCGGGTAAGGCGTTTGCGTATGAGGAGCTTTTACATAAGTGGAAGGGTCACTATTGACCTTGCTTTGCTAGCAAGTTGTGAGTGTGGTGTGTTCTGCTTTCAAACTGGTCGTGAATAATCAAATTAATGGTATTCCACATGGGTCTTACATTTTTTGTTTGTTATGCGTCCTTTGATATTGATCGTTTGGTGATTTATATTTGGCTGCTCTAAGTTCAGGCAGTGACTTCCAAGATTAGGTGCCCTATGGGTGATAAATTTGACTTGATAGCTTTTGATCTTTCACGCTGGTTTATAAACTACGCCCCGTTTACTTGGTCCCAGACCATGTCTTTTCATGAACAGTTTAGTCTAATATTTGCATTGGCTTCTCATGAAATCTTGTAACCCATTACTTTCTATTGGGTAATGCCAAGTGATGAAAGTGAATGTGCCCGAGAATCGGTCTGTATATGTGTTTAGTGCAAAGTTATACATTACTTTTATTAGCAGTTCAGGAAGAACAATCGAAATATGCATGAAATCTGTTGATTGTTTGCTTGCCATTTGTGTTTGGGAGCTAGCTTCATGGATTCTTGGCGATTCAAGTTGGTTCTGAATCTGCTTGGCGATGCAGTAAGTTTATGTATGTACTGATGTACCATGGAGCTCAATTACTCAATATGGATTGCCTCTTTCCCCCTTACATGAATGGTTCGCATATAGGAATCTCTCAAATAAACTGAAACATTCAAGAGTCGAGCATTTACTGAACCACAGCTGATGATACTACTTACAAGTTCTCAAACCGAAAAGGAAGAAAAAGAATTCTACGTTTGACCACAACTACATCAGTTCCTATAGGAATGAATTTGGATTTGAACTTCTGCAGCAAGTAAGTTCGACTCAACTTATTTCGTATAAATACTCGTTTCATGACAAATATGAAGGCTCTCTTTGATGATAGCTGCAGAGTCTGCATTCCAGCAAGTAGATAATTCGACTTAAACTTATTTGAGATAGATATTCGCTTCTTGACGAATATCAAGGCGCTCTTTGATCGCTGGAGAGTCCGCATTTAAAGACCGTACCCAAGTGATTCGAAAAATTTCTGAAAGATTGGTATGTTTTCACAGTCGTGATTATTGGACCCCCGTTTTGTAACATCACCAGTATTTGGTGAACCCTGTTTGATTATTTGTAGTAACATCACCAGTATTTAGAGAACTTATGGCGCGTTTAAAGTTTTTATTAAACCTTTTCCTTGAACTGAGCCTATCCAATGGATGATTGTCCATTTTGGGTTGTATGGCATGGAGAATGGAAGCTAGAAAATTATGTCTCCAATGATAAATGTTAATTGTGATTTCATTTGTGATGTGTTGAATTTTAATTGGTTGAAGAAGATATATAAATTAAATAAATATTCTAATATACAAAAGAAGTTGTCTAGAAAGACTTTTACATCTAGAAAGCCTTCTAGAAATTTTTTCAAGCCACATAAGATTAATTGTGACATGTGGCAACAAAATAGAGAAAGAGAAAGACCATTGGAGATGCTCTTACAGCCTTCCACTTGAGTCGTATAATTTGTGTAGTACTTGTAAGCAGATCTTCAGGACCTTATTAATAATCCGACATTTAAATAAGACAAAATTGTATTTTTAGTCTTGCTGGTTTAACGATGTTGCATTTTTAGTTCTAAAATTTTAACTTTTTTTCTTTGGATCCTATAATTTAGTAATTTGCTGCAATTTAAGTCCTTCGAGATTGAAAATGCAACAAAAAATAAAATTTATAAATATTGTTGCATTTTCATTCCCAAAAGACTGAAATTGCATTAAATCTTAAAATTATAGGACCAAAACGCAAAAATGTTCAACTCTTAAAACTAAAAACGCAGCTGTATCAAATCAACCAACAAGACTAAAATTATAATTTCGCCTTTAAATAATGCAATCCAACAATATATTCAATCTTCCTTCTTATAGTACATTATTAACGAGTGTGCATAATTCACGTTTTGCTTTCAATAATTCAGACATTATATTTAATTATGTATTTGTTTAACTTCTGTGTATCATCAAATGAGCCATCTGAAATTATAAGGCGACCCACATGACTATGAATAATTCAATTACAATATTACATAATGTATACATCGAATCATTTAGCAGAGATTTTCATTAATTATTTCATTTATTTAGTCAGGTTCTAGTTGAAAGGTTACATCATTAATTTACACACAAATCAACATTAATAATTAATAATTCTCCCCTTAGATTTGGCTACTATAAATTTTAGCTGAATTTTATTCAGAAAGTAAGTGCACGAACTGATTATCCGAAGTCGTAATATATACTTGTTGCAAGTTAATTAGTTATGGCGAACGTGATAGAAACACTTGTGGCCACCTCACCCATTAAAAGTACACCTGAAAAATTCTACAACTTCTTTAAACATGACATAAACGACCTCGTCAAGGTGTATCCGGCGGCCTTTAAAGGAGTTCAGGTGCTCGAAGGAGAAGAAGCGACGGTCGGTTGTGTCAAGCTGTGGAGCTATGTTCTTGGTATGAGACTCTGGAATATCTTTTATTTTCAATTATTTTCTTTTTAAGTCATGTATGCTTCACTGATCTAGCTTTTTCATCCTCTTTGAATTGCGTTTCTTATTTTCGTCTCGTATATTTGCAAAAAGATTATTTTCATACATAAGGGACAAAATTTGAATATTTTTTTTGCAAAACATAAAGGACGTTTTCGTTGCGAAAATTATATTTTTGTACTCTTTTAGCAAATATACGAGACGAAAATACAGAAACGCAATTCAAAGAGGACAAAAGAATTAGGCTAGTGAAACATACATGACTGGAACTGTATTATGCTCTTACTTTTTATGATAATTTCTGTTCTGATTTCTTAAATATGAAGTGTAGGTGGAATTCCAATGACCGCGAAGGAGAGGATAGAAGCCATAAACGACGCTGAAAAATCCCTCACGATCGCCGTGATCGGTGGAGATCTTATGGGGCTATACAAAAGCTTCAATTTCACACTCAACGCCAGCGAGGGCTTGGCCAAGTGGACCTTTGCCTATGAGAAACTCACGATTTTAACCCCACCTCCTGAGCTTTATATTCCTTTGGCAATCACTATTTCTACACTTGTGGATGCGTATCTTCTCCTCAACTAAAAACCAAAGCCACACCATGCAAGTGTATATGATGATGTTCATATACTCTTAAATTATATGTTCTGTACGTGTAAATAAAGCCTTATTCGCAGTGTGTGTGGCTACCGTTTATGTGGAGATGCATGTGTAATTAATAATGGTGTGGTGAAAGTTTTCATCATTAAGGAATAAAGGCCTCTACTTAATAGTGGGTGCCCCTTCATTTGTGTTTACATTTTTTTTTTTTTTTTTTTTTCAAAAACGATAGAGGTGATATATAAAAAGCACAAAAGTGCAAAAGGAACAAAATACAAGACCCCAACATAGTAATATCTAAGGCCCCAACAGGGTAATGAGACAGGGGCCAACGGTCCAAACCAAAAACACCCTACTAAACGAACTGGAGAAGAAAAATGAGAGGACACGTACATGGCGGCCTAAAGAACTCCACAAACGAAATAAAGGAAAATGAAAACAGCACCACTGCACAATGCCTAGCCTGTTATCATCTCCGAACCTAAAAGGAAAACAAACAGGGGCCAAATGGCCCAAACCAAAGACACAGAACACAATAACCAGACGAGAAAAAAAAAAAACAAACAGCAACACAGACAAAAACAACTAACTACTACTACTAACGACCCTCCCCCGAAGATTGACAAACTGAAGAAGCAGCAACATCCGACTCCCGGTCAGGCCCCTAGCCAAAACCCAACCCTCGAAACTGCATAAAGCCTGTACAAGAGTCCGGTCCCCGCCCCCGAACCTAACCAAAGAGCCAGAACCCACCGACCGAGGGAGCACAAGCACAAAAACCCCAACCAGAATAACTCAGACCCAGCTAACACCACTAGCTAAGCCCAGGATACCCAGATCCCCTACTTTCCAACAACCGAGAAAGAAAGGGATAGCCGCTCCATACCCGCACCCCAACCCCAACAGCCGCCACGCACAGCACGCGACAGCTGCTGAAGCCCCAATCCGAACACCAAGCAACTTTGCCCCACTGAACCACCGCCGCTGCCCAACCAACGCCCTCTCCCCTGAACCCCAAGCCACACCCTGAACCCCGAACCCCATGCCTCCACCCTGAGCCACAGACAACAGCCCCCAGCCACCAAAGCCAGGACCGTCGTCATTACCTCAGGTCGCCCAATCGAGCCCAACCAACTAGACCCAACCAAACCCAAACTGCACCTCCGACCCCCAACCGCACTAACAGGGATCAGGTCACCAACCAAGGAAGAAGATGGCAACGGACTCCCAGCCAAACCCCACGGCATCGCCGAACTCCGATGGCCCCAAACAACGACCAGAAGCCACCAACATCTCCACCTTCGCCAGCGACTGGGAGAGAAACGAGGTGAAACAACGACAATAAAAAGGGGGGAAAATTACCTGAGAAGGACGGACGGCCAGCGACAGCCGCAAATCCGGCCTTTCCGCCGCCGGAGGAGGCCAAGAACGGCCGATTGAGGAGAAGCTGCAGGTAGGGTTTGGGAGGAAAGAAATCGCCTGCGTTATTTGGGGCAAGTTTTCTGATTTTTTCTTTTTTTTTTTTTTTTTTTTTTTTTTTTTTTTTTTTTTTTACTTCTACCTATTTCGTAAACTAAAATATTTTCATATTTGCAAGTAATAGTATAGTACAAGTGGGATAAAATGCATGATTTTTATTTTCTTGGCTTTTGAATTATCCTTTTTTTTACATTACTATTTTTAATGGATAATATTTATTTATTTATTTATTTTTTTTATTTTTTTGCATGATGTGTTGCATTACATGTGTTCAAAGTTCAAACATAATTTTCAAAGAACCACTAGCTGTACATTTGTTCAGATATTAATACTAGTGAATGGCCCATGCGATGCACGGGAAAATAATATTATGTTGTGTTATAAATTAAATATATAAATAAATTAATCAAGTTTTACCCATTGTTTTAAAATTAAACCGTGTTGGACACAGTCCGACCGGATGGACCGAGAACCAGTTTATAATCAGTCTAGTTCACTTGAATAAAATATTTGTTATTGAATCCATCAACACCAGTCGGTTGAACTGGTAGGATCGATATAATTTTCTAAATAAATTTTTCTATATTTAAAATTATTTTAAATAAATATATATATATATATATATGTTAAAATTATTTTTATATATATTTAAAATTTATATATATATATATATATATATATATGTTAAAGCGTATTTTTAAAGAAAAAAATAAATTGTATAATTTTTATAAATTAAATTGTATAATTGAATTGTATGATTATATTAAAGCATATTTATAAATTAAATGGTACGATTTTTTAAATAAAAATAAAATAAATCTACTTTTTATGGGTTGTATTAAATGCTGACCTATTCTTTTGCTACTAATTTTAGTAAATAGGAAAATTTCTATATAAATATAGATTATCAGTTATTTATATGCATATAGTATTAAAATTATAAGTTAGATAATAGTATTAAATTTTAAATATATAGTATTATAAGTTTAATTTATGCATATAATATTAAAATTATAAGTTAGATAATGGTGTTGTTGACATAGTTTCCGCTAAAACCAAATGGTCGAAGATTATTAGCGCAAAGCAATCAAGAATAAACGACACCTGGCTACACTACTTTGGAGATCTTAGGCTCACTGATTTCAAGTAACGACATGTCGGGTAGAGTAGGCTAAGAACCGACATCTCTCGTCGGTCATGGCTTAGCTGGCCGATATCCATGACATGTAAACCCGACATCATGAGGCGGTGCCAGCTCAGCAAAATCATCATGACTGCTATCCAGGTGGCGAATTGCAAGTATAAGTGGCAGATAGCCGCCATTGACTTTTCTCTTACATTTAATGTGATCACACCAACCTCGTACGGTGGGTCGTTATACTATAAATAGCACGAGGAATCCCCAGAAAAGGGGTTCGGACATTGAACATCACTTGTAAAAAATCCAGAATCACAAAAAGGAAAAATAATGTACCAATGTCGCATATAATTCAAACCGACATCTGATTTGCTCATTTTCTGTATCTTTCATAAATAATCCTTACTTATTATAGTTGCTAATAGTCATATAACAACAGTTTGGCGCTAGAGGAAGGGCCTCAAATTTGTTTGAGGTCAATCTTCGCTTTTACTGCCATCATTTGCGGAAGGTGACATAGTAAGACACTTTCTCAGTACCCAAGATGTCATAATCTGGACGAGACCATGCCTCCCATGCTGGACAGAGTCATACTACCAATCATTCTGCGGGGCTTACGATACAAGTGCCTCCAACAACTAATATCATGAATTTCCTTCAAGACCGGAGTTTATTCAAGGATTATCATCCCTTATAGCACGGGCTGTACCCAGAACATCGAGCACAATACTGTTGCAGACACCTTTCCCAACAAATCCAATGGTACAACCAACGGTACAATCAGATCTCCTTCTGCAGAATCAGGCGACTCATGCGGCAGCTTCACATGCCACTTCGCAACCACGTCGAATCTCCCCGCACCGTGAAGAGCCAACACGCCTGACGGTGAACCTGATACGAGATAACCCAGATGCTGGTGGGCCCCATGATCAAGAGATGACTGCTGAAAGCCATTCCGCCCATCGTCAAAGAGCTCCTGTACCCCCTAGGCCTCCCTCTCCTTTGCCTGGGGACCGTGAAGACTTACGTCGACAAATTGAACGAAACCGTATGTCCCGACATGCTTCCGAAGAATTAGAGGCTCTTCGAAAAATATTGGCCGAGTTAGAAACACGTCAGAGGTCACAGGAAGAATCTCCCCTACATGTCTCGACCTCAGGCAACGTGAACATACGTCATTTTACTCGGCTCGCGGTCTCTATTGCTATGTCATGATTACTTTTGGATTAAAGAATGCTGGGGCCACGTATCAGAGGCTAGTCAATAAAATGTTCACCCGATTAATCGGACACACGATGGAGGTATACATAGATGACATGTTGGTGAAGTCGGAACAAGCAACCGATCATATTGCCCATCTCACCGACGTCTTCAACATCCTTCGTGACTATTCAATGGTACTTAACCCCAAGAAGTGCACCTTTGGAGTTTGCTCGGGAAAGTTCTTAAGGTACATGGTAAGCCAAAGAGGAATCGAGGCTAACCCCGCGAAGATTTGTTTGTTGTGTTTTTGTCCTTATTTTCTTGTGTTTTATGTGTTTTATTTTGTGGTTCTTAGGTCCGTTTTTAGGCTCAACCGGTCCATTTTGTCGTGCTTTGTATATTTTTGCTCTTGTATAGCTTGTTTGTATTTTTGCGCGTTTTCTCTTTGTTTTTGGTGTGATAAGGTCTATTTAATCGCGCACGAGGAGACGAGCCATCCGAGCCGACTGAGCCGTCCAATCTGGAAATTCCGACCAAACCATACTTGGAGGAAAAGCATTCAAAGACAAGAATTTTGGTCCAAGTTTCGGGCGAATCGGAGTTCGGTGTGAGAAGATAGAGCGAAATGAAGAATCAAGCACGAACCGAGCCCACTCGCGAGCCCGCGTCGAGACCCGCGAGCTAGCGGACGCACACCAGCCGCACGCCTGCCTTCCAAGCACTCGTGACCACGCAGTGAGATTCGCGACCCCGAGAGCACCGCGCGCCTTGCGCCCCGGCTGCACAGCACACCCGCGCCCTCGCGAGAAGTTCCGCGAGCTCAAGAGTGTTGCCGTGCCCAAGCGCCTGCTTCTTACGTGCTCGCAGAAAGTGCCGCGATACCGAGAGTGACCGCGCACACCCTCGCCCGTGTATTGCCGTACGCACCAACCCAACGCACATCCGCGCGCCCGTGCTGCCGCACGCCCGCACACCACATGCCCGCGCCCTCGCGAATTTCCCAGTGAGCTCGAGAGTGCCGTGCCCGTACACGCCATGCTGCCATCATCTACGAGCTCGCGAATTTTATGGCTAGGTTGAGAGTGCTGTTTTTAATGTGCGTGTTTTTAGTGTGTGTTTGTGGTGTAGCTATATATAGACATCTTGCTTTGTATTTTTGGGGAGA